AAGAGATAGAAAGAGAAATTCCAATTAAAATAACTGTAGATAATATAAAATACTTGAAAGTCTACCTGCCAAGACAAACCCAGGAACTATATGAACACAACTATAAAACACTTTTCACACAAATAAAGTCAGATCTAAACTATTAGAAAAAAAATTAATTGCTTATGGATAGGCCGGGCCAATATATTAAAAGTGACAATTTTACCTAATCTATTTATTCAGTGCCATACCAAACTATCAAAATTTCTTTATAGAGCTAGAAAAAATAATAACAAAATTCATCTGGAAGAACAAAAGCTCAAGGATGTCAAGGGAATCAATGAAAAAAAATGCAAAACAAGGTGGTCTAGCAGAACCGGATCTTATAAGGTGGCATTATAAAGTGGTAAATATCAAAACAATCTGGCACTGGCTAAGAAATAGAGTAGTGGAATAGATTAGGTATAAATTATATTATAGTAAATGACGATAGTAATCTAGTATATGATAAATCCAAAGATCTAAGCTTTTGGAACAAAAACTCATTATTTGACAAAAACTGTGGGGCAAATTGGAAAACAAGAGTGCAGAAACTAGGTATGGACCAACATATCATACCATATGTCAAGATAAGGTCAAAATGGGTACATGATTTACACATAAAGATTGATACCATAAGTAAATTAAGAGAACATGGAATATTTTATCTGTCAGATATATGGATAAGGGAAGAATTTAGGGCCAAAGAAGATATAGAGAGAATTATGAAGTATAAAATAGATTATTTTGATTATATAAAATGAAAAAGTTTTTGCAGAAACAAAACCAATGCAACCAAAATGAAAAGAAAAGCAGAAAACTAGGGGAAAATTTTTTTGCAACAAGTATCTCTGATAAAGGCCTCACTTCTCAAATATCCAGAGAACTGAGTCAAATTTATTTTTACTGTTTTTTTTTTTTGCAAAGCAATCGGGGTTAATGACTTGTCCAGGGTCACACAGTTAGTAAGTGTCTAGTGTCTGAGGCCGGATTTGAACTCAGGTCTTCTGGACTCCAGGGCTGTGCTCTATCCACTGAGCCACTTAGCTGCCCCCAAATTTATAAAAATATGAGCCATTCCCCAATTGATAAATGGTCAAAGGATATGGACAGGCAGTTTTCAGACAAAGAAATCAAAGCTATCTATAGTCCTATGGAAAAAGCTCTAAATCACAACTGATCAGAGAAATGCAAATTAAAACAACTCTGAGGTATCAATTCACACCAATAAAAGTGGCTAATGTAACAAAAAAAATGAAAATGTTGGATCCTGGAGGGGATGTAGGAAAATTGTGTCACTAATGCCCTGTTGGTGGAGTTGTGAACTGATCCAACCATTCTAGAGAGCAATTTGGAATTATGCACAAAGGGCTATAAAACTGTGTATTTATACCCTTTTGAAGCAGCAACACCACAGCTAGGTCTATATTCCAAAGACATCCAAAAGAAGAGAAAAGGATCTATTTGTATAAAAATATTTATAGCAGCTTTTTTTGTGGTAGCTAAGAATTGGAAATCAAAGGGATGCCCATCAATTGGGGAATGACTATATATGACTGTGATGGAATATTATTGTGCTATAAGAAATAACAAGCAGGATGATTTCAGAAAAACCTGGAAAGACTTACATGAACTGATGCGTAGTGAAGTGAACAGAACCAGGACAATATTGTACACAGTAACAGCAATATCGTTCAATGAAGAATTATGACTGAGTTATTCTCAGCAATACAAAGATCCCAAGACAATCCCAAAGGACTAATCATGAAGCACACTGTCCGCCTCCAGAGAAAGAGCTGATATTGATTGAATACAGACTGAAGCATGCTGTTTTTCATTTTTTTCTTTTATACAAGTCTTCTTGTACAAAATGATTAATATGGAAACGTTTTATATAATAGCACATGTATAACCTATATCTGATTGCTTACTGTCTGGGGGGTGGAGGAGGGGAAGGAGGGAAGTATAGAATTTGGGACTCAAAACTTTAAATAAAAATGTTAAAAAAGAAAAAGAATAGAAGGAGCTCTTAGGGCTGAGTATTGCCACTGCTATTGCCACTAGCATTGCCAGAGGTGAGATGTAGGACTTCCCAGAGCTACTGCAGCAAAGATTGTCGCTGTCTTCGTTTGCTGGGAATTATATCAATGTGAAATTTTGTCTCCCTTCTACTTCCTGGAGAGAGTGGAGCTCCATTCTAAAGCTTATCTTTGTTTCTTTAAAGTTTATATGTAACCTGTCAGCTTCTTCCTGGATTCTCTTTCTGCCATCAGAGACCTTTTCCTGAAGAGAATCTGGAAACTCAAGTCCCCTCTATTGAAACTGAAAGCCAAAAGAATTAGAATCCCTGCTTTCCTAAGCTCTCACCAACACTGCCCCTTACATGGGCACAGAGCATCAAGTAATCATTCTCCATCAATGAGGAGAGTCTTAAGTAAATAGATTTAAGCCCCAGGTTATATTCATTTTACATTACCGTTCATCCGGTCTCTGAAAGCTGGTATTAAGATAAAGCTGAGGTTAACCAAGTGCATTATTGATCTGTGTATATTTCTTTTGCACAAAGGCAACTGAAAGGGAGGTTAAGGGGCTACACAGAATGAGAAGGAATCTCTTAATCTTTGGGATGACCCCAGCTGGATCTTCAGAATGAACCCCAAGGATTTTTATTAATAGATATTATTACTCTCCCCAAAGCAGGGAAACGATTAAGCTACGTGAATCAGGACCATCCCAGATTTCCCTGGGCACAGATGAGTTAGCAGTGTTAGGAGGCATGGTAGGAAGTTTTCTCCCCAAACTCCTCAGAGGCAGTGGCCTCAGGCTACTAACTTTCCCTTCCTATTATTTCATTCTCCTACTCTAAGTCCTAGGAAACCCCTTCACTTCCCTGGGTGGGGCTGAAATTAGAGCCAAGAGAGGAAAGAATAATAGTTCTGCCCACAAGAGGGTATGGGTTGAGTAGAGGGACTGGAGTGTTCGCTAAATGCCTCCAACCCCACCCACAGTATATGTATCTCATTTCCCTTATACTGTATCATTTAAAGGTGTCAGAACTATAGATTTTAAAGTGGGAAGGCAAAGAGGTTGAGTTTCCCTCCAGTTAGTGTTTTGCTTTGGCTGAGACATATTATGAGTAAAGAAGTGAGCAACCACCAATATTTATTACTTCAATGATTCGATGACTTGCAATTTCATTTGCGTGGGAATTCTCTCTACTACACAGAACCCCCTTTTCTAATTAGTAGAAAGCTCAAAGGGTTGCTATGGCTGAAGAATTCATTACCCTACCAACAATCTGGTGATGAGTCTCTCTGAATTTAGTTAGGCTAGTCTTTGGGGGCGGACCTGCTTATAAGTAGCTAACAGTATCGCACTCTCAGGCTATCAAAGCACTTTATCTTATTTGATCTTCACTACAATCCCGAAAGGTGTTGTCATTCCCATTTTAAGGATGAGAAAACTAAGGCTGAGAGAGGTTAAGTAAATTGTCCAAGTTCATAACAGTCAGAGGTATGTGTTGACTCAAAATCCAATGGTCTATCCACTACATCAATTTTTAAAGCTTCTACTCTCTCCTTGCAGAGCCTTTAATGACCTTGGGTCACCTCCATGCCATCCCTAAGGCACTGATGAACTTTTAGGAGTGACCTCCAAGTAAATCTGAAGGCAGAAGGGGAAAGGAAGGTGCATCTTTAACTTTAAAAGATATTACTCTAAGATGTCAGGTTTACACAACATCTACCATACATTTTTATCTTTTATCCTCACAATAACACTGTGCTGGAAGTGCTATACTTATTAATATGCCAGGGATATTAATATCCCTTATTAATATTTTGGCAGATAAGGAAACTGAGGTTGAATGAAGGTAAGTGATATGCAAGTGTCTGACAACAAATGATAACGCCAGAGGAGTGTCAAAAATTACCTAAGTTCTTAATTTTGAATCCACAGATATCAGATAGATTTCAGAAGTTCCATAACCTTGAATGGGGGAAAATACTTCTTTATTTCCACTAACCTCTAATTGAAATTTAGCATCTCCTTCAATTATGGATGTAGCAACATAACATTATTCTGAGAAAACATCCATTAACTTCAAGGCCCATGACACTAAAATAGGTTAAGAGGCCAAGAATGAATTCTAGTCCAACTGCCTGATTTTACAGATTAGGAAACTGAGATCAAACGACTTGCTTAAAATTAAAAATGCTTTCTAATAAGTAGATCTGGGTTTTGAACCCATATCCTCTGGCTTATGGTCCAAAATTCTTTCTACTGACTCCACCTCTCCCATTTGAACCTGGTGCTGTTTCCATCATACGGCCTGCTGTTCAGCAGAAACGTTTAAATTTTGATATATATAGTTTTAACCTCTATAAACTTTCTGTTTAATCTTGCAGTCAAGTTCCCACAATGACCCTCAGGTGTCCAAACTCCAATTCTTGATAATAGCCTAGAGGGAGGGATAGACTGACTTTATATTAAGTAGCTTGGTGACACACCTCCTCTCTTCCATTTCGCAACATCAACCTTAATTTCGTTCTTCCTCAGTCACAAAACAATTATTCTATCTGAAAAGGAAAGAACGGAGGTGCAAGGCGTAAAAAAAAAAAGATAGTAATTGCCCAACAGGTGCTTATTCCAGGACTCCTACCGGCACCTGAATACCCAAACCGACTCTCTACAAAGAGTCAAGTGCCACCACCTCCTGCTTGCCCTTCAGATGTAGTTGTCGGAGACTTTTGTGTTCCTTTACTCATGGCACACTCTAACCATCTGCAACAGATTGGCTTGATTGCCTGCGTGAAGTTTATGTAACAACTACACAAAGAACCTGGTGACTTGAGACACCCAGGTTCCTTAAAAACACGCTCCATTAACTTCTCCTAGGAACTACAATACCCAACTGCCCCTGCGCTCTTTGCAGGAAGGACGTCTGCGCAGTAAGACACTCAGTTCCAAGTTTGGAGCTTTTAGCTGCCAGCCCTGGCCCATCATGTAGCTGCAGCACAGCCTTCCCTACCATTGCAATTGGAAAAAATCACTTTCCAATCTGTTTTGCAAGGTGTGCATTTCCACTTTGATTTCCTGAAAGATCATCTGCTGCATCGATCAAGAAAAACTTCACTTGCATGAAGACTGCGCGTCTGCAGCTTGAATCTTTATTGCAAAACTAGCTACAGAAGAGAGGCAAGGCAAAGTCTTTTGTGCTCCCCTCCCCCATCAAAGGAAAGGGGAAAATGTCTCAGCCAAAAGGTAAGAGCCTATTTGCATTGCTTGCAAAAAATGCAAAAACTCGTGCATGCATTTGCAAATGCATGGATGCATTTTTTGCCAGGCAATTGCATTTTAAAGTTTGAGGCTTTCCGAAGCTCAGTTGTATTTCCTGTTTAGTATGTGTCTTTTTTTTTTTTTTTTTGCAGACACAGAGAGTTCCTGTAAGGCAGGGCTTGCAGTTCAGCTGTGCGTTGATGTTATTTGCATTCTTCTGCTAGGATTACTGAGCTCTTTTTGCCTTTTGCATAGTCAGGACAGATAAAGCAGGTTGGAAGTGTCTAAATATGCAGTGCTTTCTCTCTTTGGAAAATTCTGTAGAATGCATTCACATCGTGCATCGATTCAAGTACTAGAGTACTGTAAACTTTTAAAGAGTCTGTTTCTCAAATGAAAGGCACAAGGAGTTAAATTGCTAGGAATTAAGTATATACCTATGTTTCCATGGGAAATAATTTTTCTGGCATCAGTCCTTAGCTAATTTTCCATTGATTTCCTGCTGAATGTCAGGCAACTTTTGATTTTTAAAGGTAGGATTTGGATAACATCAGGTTACTAAAAGCTTGCAAGAAATCCTGGTCTTTTAAGATTTTGCACTTTACCATAGGACTTTATTGGTCGAATAGAGTTCATAAGTTGAGCAATGAAGAGATAAAACTTGAGAAGTCTGACCATTTGGGAGGTAACTTTTCATCTCAGAGTAGAAAGTAGAGGGGGGGAAAAGCTGTGCTTTCAGGATGTTGCAAGAGTGGGGAGCTATACTATTTCATTAATAACCAAAATGAGATCTTTTAAGCACATAAAAATGGAATACACATATTTAGCCTTTAGATATGTTATTAGATGCAGAAGTTCAAGGTTTGTGCATTTAATAGTTCGGGTTTTTTATTTCATACAGCTGTTGCACTTGTATTTTTCAGCCTTTAAATGGCATCTGGGGGTATTAGAACAAAATATCTGGCAGAGCATCAGAAGACCAAGGAGGTACTTATAAGTTGCCCTCAGGATTTTGAGTCTTTTTTTGAAGTAAATATTACTGAACCACACAGAGAGCACATGCTTTATGACAAGGTAAGGAAGAAGGAAGTGATAAGTTAGGCATCCTGGCATCCATACTACCAGTGACTTATGGATACAGAATAAGTATTATTTGATGATAACAAAAATCAAGGATTTGATAATCTGTCCATAGGCTTAATATGGCAAAAGATTACAAAGTTGTTACAGAACAATTACATTCTTAACTTTAAGGATCTAAAGACATGATTGTAGAAGTGATAGTTGCAAGACTTTGAAGACTCTTGATAAGGACTAGGAGAGGAAAAAAAAACCCAACCTGAAAAAATGTTCCATCTAGAACGTAAGTAGTTACAGGGCTAGATTTATTTTTAGTGGCTGCAGTGGAAAGAACATTGGATTTGATTTTAGAGGACATGAGTTTGAATTCCAGTTCTACCACCTGTGTGAATTTAGGAAATTAGTTAACCTCTCAGAGTCTCAGTTTTTTTAAATTATTAAAAAGAGGGAGTTGGATTAAGTGACCTCTGAGATCTTTTCAAGCTCTAAATCTATGATCCTGTGAACAAGGATGGGGGGTGGGGTTAAAATCATAGGGAATTAGATTTTGCCTAAACCAACAGGAGGCTTCCTAAGAATTTGAGGTATCTGAAAATGGAATAGGTTGCATTGTGAGTTAGGTGGTAAGTTTCTGATCTGTATGAATGTTCAAGTACAGGAGGGATGTCCGCTTGTTGGAGTGGGATTTGAGCCGATGTCATCTGGCTCCAAATGTAAAATACCCATCCCATCTCATCATAATGGAGAAGGGAATTTTGGACCAAGTAACTCTAAGATTGCTTTTCTTAAAAAAAAAAAGTTTGATTATGAACTAGAAACTCATCTATATATATTTTGGAGAGGCAATCCTGGTTAAGTGACTTGCACTTGCTGTGTGCACACAGCTAGTGAGCATCATGTGTCTGAGGCCACATTTGAACTCAGGTCCTCCTGACTCCAGGGCTGGTGCTCTATCCACTGTGCCACCTAGCTGCTGTTCATCAATAAATATTAACATTTCTCTATACAAAGAAAGCCAGAAAATGGGAATTGTATATGAAATTGGAAGTGAAACCATTATGTGTAGCTTATTTTAAAAAATTATCTTAAAACTCCGTGTGGTAGTACCAAACATTGCTCTGCTTGTCTGTGTCTCCATCCAGATTTCCTTCAGCTTTCTTTGGTACATTAAGTGTTTTATTGATGCCCTACCTTCTAACAAAGAGTAGTCAAGCAGAATGATTTTTGGTTGTAATAGTGATATCTGATAATAAATGTCTCGTTCTCCATTTATATTATATCACTTCTCTGCCAAGAAGTGAGGGTCGTGCCTGATCATCAATCTTTGGCATTATAATTGGCCATTATATAAATTACCATCCTTAATTCTTTCAAAATTCTTTTCCTTTATATATAATGTTGAAGGTGTTCTATAAATTGTTCTCCCAGTTACACTTCATTTCACTCTGCATAAGTTCATAAAATCTTCCAAAGTTTCTCTGAATCTGAGACTTCTATCATTTTTTATGGTGCAATACTATTATATTTACTATACTTTGTTTAGCTGTTCCCCAGATGATTGACACTTTGTTTACAGTGTTTTGCTGCAACAACAAAGTGCTGCTATAAATAATTTTGTACATATGAGTCTTTTCTTTCTTTTCTTTCTTTGGAGTATATGCCTAATAGTGGTATTGTAGGTCAAAGAGTATGCATTGTTTAGTGACTTTGGAGCTATAAGTCCAAATTGCTTTAGAAAAGTTTTAAACTTGGGGTCCACAGACCCTTGCAAGGTTCATGGATAGATTTCAGAGATTCCATGAGTTTGGATGGAGGGAAAAAAGTGCATCTTTATTTTCACTAACCTCTGACTAAAACATAGCATTTCTTTCATTATGAATGTAGACAACAAATCAAAGTAGTGTTAGGTTTCACCAGACTGTCAAAGGGGCCTGCAGCACAAAAAAAAAAAAAGAAAAAAAAAGAAAAAGCTTAACATTCCCTAGTTTAGAGAATGGCTGGATCTCTTCATAGCTCTGCCGACAATATGTTATAAGTGTGCCTGTCACTTTTGCTAATCTGATGGTGGTGAATTAGAATCTCAGGATCATTTTAATTTGCACTTCTCTTGTTAATGATTTTGAGCATTTAAAAAATTTGGTTCTTGATATCTTGAATTTCTTCCATTGAGAATAGCCTGTTCACGTCCTTTGACTATTTACTTCTTTGGGGAATGGTTTGTTCTCATGTATTTTTATCTGCTTCCAATTTTCTGGATATTGAACATTTATCAGAAGAATTTCTGCAAAGATTTTCCCTCCAGTTCACAGATTCCCTTCTAATTGTAATTGCATGGGTAGTGTTTGTATTAAACATTTTCAATTTTATAGAATCACAGTTGTCTATTTCCTTTCTCTTGTTTCTTTGGATAAGAATTTTTCCCCTGTCCATAACTGTGAAAAATTTCTTTCCTCTAATTTGTTTATAGTGTGACTTAGATATAAAAGGTCATATGACCACTTGGAGCTTATTGGTAGTATATGGTAGAAGATGTTGATCTATACTTAATTTCTCCTACACTGCTGTCCAATTTTCCCATTAGGTTTTATCGAATAATACATTGCTACCTCAGTAGTTTGTGGCCTTGGGTTCACTGCATACTCTGATACTGTTTTAAATTGCTCTGACATTTTATGTCTAATTTGTTTGATTTATCAGATTTTTAAAAAATTTTTAATCAGTTCCAAATAGTCTTGATGCTTACTGATATGTATAATTTGAGATTTGGTACTACTAGACCCCCTTTCTTCTCATTTTTTCCCATTATTTCCCTTGACGTATTTGATCTTTTGTTCCTCCAGATGGATTTTGTTATGATTTTGTATAGTTCCACAAAGTATACCTTTGGTAGTGTGGGATGGCATATCATGATAAATTATTTTAGGCAGCCTTATGAGTTTTATTATATTAGTGTATCCCAACCATGAACAACTAATTCCTCTCCAATTATTTATTTTCCCTTATTTCTATAAAAAGTATTTTGTAGTTGTGTTCATATTATTCCTCTATGTGTCTTGGATAAGTCAGGAGGATCTAGGTTCAAATTCCACATGACACTTATTAATAGTGTGATTCTCAGGCAAGCAACTTAACCTCTTACACAATCAATTTTTTCATTTGTAAAATGTAGAGATTGGATCTGATAGCCTCCAAGGTCCTTTTCAGTTCTCAATGTGATAGACTCTCAGATGTTTTACATATTATGTAGTAATTTTTAATGGGATTTCTTTTTCAGTCATTCCTACCACTTTTTTGAACTAGGTAGCATAGTGGATAAGTGCACATAGAAGCAATAAGACTTGAATTCAAATCTAGTCTTAGACCCTTTCTAGTTGTGCAACTCTGAGTAAGTCACTTAATCTCTGTCTGCCTTCATGCATAAAAACGGGAATAATAATAGCACAGACTTCCCAGGGTTTTTGTGAGGATAAAATGAAAAAACTTTTAAAGTACTTTGCAAACTTTAAAACACTGTACAAAAGCATTATTATTATTATTAAGGGTTTTTTTGTCTTGTTGCTTTATAGGAATTATTATTTCTAGTGACATGTGATAATTTTGTTTCTTATTTGCTTATGGTTGTTCCCTTAATTTCTTTTTTTCTTGTCTTACTGTTATACCTAGCGTTGTATTTTTTTGATCAATTAATTAATTTTTAGTTTTCAACATTCATTTCCACAAGATTTTGAGTTCCAAATTTTCTCCCTATCTTGCCCCTCCCCCACCCCAATACAGCGTGCATTCTGAATACCCCTTCCCCTAATCTACCCTCCCTTCTATCATTCTCACCCCTTCTCTTATCCCCTTCCTCTTCTATTTTCCAGTAGGGCAGGATTTCTATACCCCATTGCCAGTATATCTTATTT